GGGATTATCTCACAATTGACTCCTCCCGATACACCACAATAAAATGGTGTGTACAAAAGGAGAAATCATACTTTACTTGATATGGTACGATTAATGATGAGTCGTGTTACTCTTCCCATATATATTTGGGGGCATGCGGTGTTGTCTGCTACATATATACTCAATAGAGTTCCAACCAAAAAGGTCAATAAGACACCATACGAGCTATGGAATGGAAGAGTTCCAAACTTGTCTTACTTGAAGGTTTAGGGTTGTGAAGCTTACGTATGATTTGATACTTCCAACAAATTAGAACGCAGATCTAATAAGTGTATATCTGTGGGATACCCTAAGAAAACAAGGGATTATTATTTATATCTCCCCACCGAGAACAAAGTGTTTGTTGCTCGACGTGCTGAAATATTGAAAAGAAGTTTCTTTCAAATGAAGCTAGTAGGAGGGAGATTGATCTTGAAGAAATTCAAGAACCACTGGATATATCACAAGAGGTTGGCACTAGCAATTAACTAGAGGTTGATGAACCTGAGCAACTAGTTACTTGAGTACCTGATAAAACACATATCATTCACAGATCTAGTAGAGTTCCTAATGAACCCGAGAGATATGGATTTCTCGTGTCTTCTGATGAAGTATTATTAGTGGATCAAGGTGAGTCCACTAGCTGCAAAGATGTTGCATCAGTTCCAGAATCTGATAAGTGGCTTGAAGCCATGAACGTATAGATGCAGTGCATGTATGAAAATCAAGTATGGGAGGAATGTCATATCTTAATATGGTCAAATGCTGATTTAACAGGCAGTTATAAAGGTCAATATTAGACATGATAAGATACATATTGAAAGCATATGTAGTCAAGATGAAATTTACTCATTTCATTTGATGGGAGAGTGACATCTCTGGGCCCCTTGATGATTCTTAAATGATGAAAACGCATGTCCATGCTCATACTAAGTTAACTTGTTCAACAGGGTTCGCTTTATCATTTTGAATCTCGATCGAGTAACAGAGTAGTTGAACACCATATGAGAATGATTCGAATAGAAACTCATTTTTAAATGGGATGTCGGTAACAAAACTGTTAGGTTTGAATTTTAGAGTTAAATTGTATTCGTCTTGAAAGGTTTATAATTGTATTTTTAGTAAGTTTGACTTTGTAAGTTATTGTTGACTTTGACTAGAGCTTTTATAGTTGACCTATAAATAAGTCTTATCTTGTCATGTAGTGTTAGAGAGTGTAAGTGAAGGAAGCTCAATAGTAATACGTATATTTTGAGAGATTTATAAACAGTTGACCAATTGACCTTTTCTCTCAAGTCCTTCATAGAGTTCTTACATGTTTATCATATGAAGATTGCCATTGTTCATCATGTTTATGAAGATTGATCATATTCTGGGACACACAAAAACGTTAATAGTATTATTACCTGTAACATTGATAAAACGCTCATGAGTTTAGAGAGCATTTTACATAAGAGTAGTTTTGTCGTGTGTCATTAGAGATAGTGGCATGCTGCTAAACGTTTACCATTGTCTATATGATGATGTATTGTATCATGTGCAAGTGGGAGATTGTTGGATCTATATGCCCATGAAACTAAACTTGAGCGGCTAATGATACACAATTCCAAAGGGGCACACATATACAAGAATATTAACCTCAACCGCATGATCGAATGTTGTAACATCCAATTTCTAATATGCCCAAATTATTTGCTAAGTACGTTTAATTATTATGTTAACGAGAATATTATGTGAGAAGTTGTGATACATGTTATGTCAAAGTGGAAAATTTTACTTAGTATTTTAGTAATGTCCTTATAAGAGAACCTATGATTTAGTGGGAGTTTGGATTTGAAATTTTAAAATTATACTTCTTAGGAATATATTAGAGGATTTGGGAAAAAAAATTTACGTCAAATAGATACGTAAAACTGATTTTTTTGGGAGATCTTTTCTGGAATATTTTTGTTTGATGTTATAGATTATCTTTTTATGAACATGTAGGCAAAAACCTCATAGAAAAAGAAGGTCTGAGCGAAAAGTTATGAATATTTTAAATGTTGATAATCAAAATGGGTACCTAGTCGGGTCAACCCGACCCAACTCGGGTTTTAGCATACGAAATTGGATTTTTGGCCCATTTTTCATGTCATTTGAGTCCAGAACTCACACACACATACTAGAGGTGCGATTTTCATACACATAGGCTCGATTCAACTCAAATCAAAGAGGCATTATAAGATCTTTGAACGATTTGATCAATAAGTAAGGTATAATCCATTTTTGCACTTGTTCTTGGTTGACATTCTTGTTATATGGATTGCATGTTGAGAAAGAGTTAGGGTTTCATATGGGTTTGATCTTAAGTGTATAAAATGAGTACATTTTAGTATTTATGGCATGAAATGATCATTAGATTCAAAAGATTATCAAGATTTATGCAAGTTCATCATATGAACTTTGACTTGATCAAGTCAATGATTTGGGAGAGAATATAAATGATAAAATAAATGTTGGATTTTGTTGTTTATGTCAAATATGTTATATTAAGTTGAAATTCAGAAGTTGGAATAATTTGGAATCGAAATGGTTTGAAAAAAATGTATGAAAATGAGAATTTCGACTTAAGAATGCACTGAAAATATGCAGACTTTGAAAAACTGTATAAAATCATAGAAACATCCAAATGAGGTGAGGTCAATTTCCTTATTTAGATAATTGAGTTTAGTTTATTTCTTATTATGATCAAGACGTGAATTCAAGTTTAAAATGGGCAAAACAGTTCTACAAGCAGCAGCTGTACATAGAAATCTAGGCAAAGTGTTCAAATAGGATATGTGTATAACATGAGTTTCTTATATTGGTTGCTTATGAGATTTTGTACATTCATTCCAGGGGGTAATTAGGACATATTTTCATGCTTTGGAAGCATTCTAGGTGTGGTAGCTTGGACTTTCTTTGTGAGCTCATTTAGGAGCTTTTCGATATTATACGGTTGCTCAGTGAGTTATATAGTTAATTGTTACATATTGTTTTGAATATATACATTTTAATATGAATGTTTTTGGTCTTGAATTGAGTCACACGATCTTTATTTGTCTTTGATTCCGTCTCTTGAGTCTATTCCATATTATGATCTTGTTACATCGGTTTGCTTTCTGGATCCGGACTTGTTGTTTTGTTCCTTGAATTGTACGCCATAGTACGTGTGCTACTTCATGTGGCACGCCGGAAGTTTATGGCGAATTCAAGATCCTGGGATTGACGGGTGAGACTTTTTGCGGTTGTGAATACTCATTGCTCAAAAAGGAGGAAGAGCAATGAGTAGGGAACCTTGGCACATACCCGATAGAGGAAGGCGGGCAGTGCAAGGTTTCCCGTAATGTACGATTCTGACTCGGACTTTGGCATGATCCCGGAAGGTGAAGGATAGGGTGATGCACTGTCCTTGTTAAGTTTACCGATTCAATCTCTTGGTTGTTGATGTTTATTGGTATTCTAACGTTGTTGAATATACTTGGTTATTGATCTTGTTTCCTTGTTGTATTGAGCATCAATGATATGGTATATTATAGTAAATTTGAGTATGGAATTCTATGATTTTAGCATCCTGTACGTAATTGTTTACTCGGTTTCTTGTAAGTCTCGGTTTGCATTTAGATGATGTCTTAAACTCTTTTATTGATAAGAGTTTATTATGTATGTTTATAAACATGTGCGATATTGATATGTAATACTTAACTATCTAACTCACTAAGCGTTGGCTTTCCATTTAAGTGTCAACCCCTCTCAGGAAAGAAGATGGATAAAAAGAAAGAACCCGTTGTTTGACTTGAAGATTTATCGGGGGACTTGAAGTTTACCAACTTGCTTTTGGTAAATAGTAGCTTATTACCGTATCTCATAGATGTAGTAAGTGTAGCTTGTGCATAGTCTTGTTCCGGTTATAAGTATGTCCCGTATTTATTTTTTTTGCTACTAAATTCGGGTTGTAAGTAAAAAATCCGTTATGTCCGGTTTGGAATTGTGTTTTGGGTGGTTTTATCACTAAAATAAAACGGATATTTCGATGTTTTTCTAGAAAATTAATATCCTGTATTTTAAGGTTAATCAATTAATTTTATTTTATTGGAGACTTTATAAAATTGGTAACTTGGGGTTTCTTAAGTGAGATGTTACAGATATGGTATCAGAGCTGTGGTTTGAGTGAACTGGATATCATTAATGATATTCGGACGCAAACTTAGGTATTGACATTGTATAGTGACTAGGTTATGATTATATGGGATATAGACCAATAGGAGAAAGTTAGGATTTGTTGGGGTACAAGGGATAGAATATTATTTGACTTCTATATATATTATAATTTCAGTCCGATGTCTGAACACGATGCTTCTAGCAATGCGCTGGTTACTCAAGAAATTGGGGATGACAACCTCAATCTCGAAGGGAATGTCCAAGGAAATGATGACAATGACGATGAAGCCCAACTATCACCTCGTACTTAGAGGTTATTGAAACTAATGAATGATCAAACACGGGTTGCTCTAAGAGAACAAAAAATAGAGTTTGAAAGAAAGTTATCTAAAGTGCAAAATCTAGTTAATGCTCAGAATCCGGTTGTTCAAGGACCGAAGCCAGTTAATGAAGACGTACCGAAACCAAAGTCGGACCAGCCTTCATTTAAGACATTTAGAAGCAGTGGGGCTACAGAGTTCTCGGGACAGACGGACCCAGTACTTGCAATGTAATGGGTCAAAAACACTGAAAAGGTATTCAGGAGTGTTTATGTGTAGGAGGAGGATAAAGTACATTATGCTACAGCGATATTTATCGCCCGTGCACTCACTTGGTGAAACGCCACATATCGATCAATGGATCCTAATACTCGGGATAGAACGACATGGGAAGAGTTTCAAGTATTGTTCTTCGATCAATACTGTCCGGATGATCTGAAACAAAAGGTTGAGAAGGAATTCCTAGAGCTCAAACAGGGATCCATGTCGGTAATTGAATATGAAACAGAGTTCAATCGGAAGCTTCAGTTTGCCCAGCGGTTTGTACCAAGTGAAAAGGACAAGATTAATCACTTCGTCAATGACTTTCGATGGAATATTCACGATTTCGTCACCAATCGCGACATACCTTCATTTGCCAAAGCAGTTGAACATGCAAGGAAACGGGAGCATGATCTGAGTCTCCCTGATGATTCTGATGTACCGGAGAAACGATCGAGAGTTGAGAGAACCTTCTCAACCCCGACATCTAAATCGTCTCGATTCTTCAAGTCGAGACGAGCTCAATCGCATAATACACCACATACTATCTCACAGGCTTATACAATGCAGTTGAATATGCAACAGAACTACAACCGATGTGGCAAGAATCACCAGGGACGATGTAGTGATGATCAAACTTCTGTACAATGCTTCTATTGTGGTGAAGCTGGGCACATACGAACTCAGTGCCCTCAAAAAGAAAAGGCATGTTATAATTATGGCGTGTTAGATCATCGTATGCAAGAATGCCCAAAGAATAGACTGGAGCAAAGTAAGGGGTCGTTACAACAACCGATGCAACGACCGATACATACAGCGGGGGCTTCAACCAAAAAGGAGGATGTCCCGAAACCTCATGCCAGGGCGTTTCAAATTACCACGAAGGAAGCCATGAACGATCCCGACGTTGTTACGGGCATATTTCTTGTTAATTCTTGGCCTGCTCGTATTTTATTTGATTTTGATGCAACAAATTCTTTTGTGTCAAATGATTATGTTTGTTATATTAAATCCGTGCCTACTATGCTTGAAAAACCTTTTACTATTGACATTGCGAGCGAAGTACCATTAGTTGCTGATAAAGTATTTAGAGGGTGTACATTGCTTCTAGATGACTATGAATTTCTTATCGATCTCATTCAAACTGATATACGTGGATTCGATGTTGTTATTGGTATGGATTGGTTGGCAAAGAATCAAGCCGGCCAGCCTCTTTTTGGGTTTCCATACCTTGGGACTTTATGTTCATAATGATGTCATGCTTTCCTTTGGTACTTCGGAGAAGCAAATCTTAATCGAACCTATATTTGCTCAATGGATACAATCTGCTCAACCACATGTCATGCGTGAAAATAGTAAGGACCTTGCCTACGGGCTCATTGGGACACTCAAGTACGAAGGAAATCTCTACTTAATTAAGGAAGGTTTCAGAGACAGAGGATCAAATCAATGGAAAAGCAAGGGAACGAGGCGACCGGAGGGAGGGCTTAGGCGAGTTGCAGCCTACAATCCGAACTGAGGACGGGTTTTTGGAGTTAGCTCACCCTCACAGGATCACGACCGACATAAGACTCGACTTGTTAGATATTACGGAGGTTTAGTGAGCACCATGCCGAATTTCTCTACCATTTTCTTCTTTTTCACTTTGGCCAATATGAGTTTACCTGGTACTAGCAGCTTTATCGGGGAATTTCTCATCTTAGTAGGAGCTTTCCAAAGAAATAGCTTAGTAGGCACATTAGCAGCGCGGGGGAAATTTTTGAATTAGATCGTGCTACTTTGAAATCCGATGGTGTTTTTCGTAGTAGTCCAAGGGGTTGGTTTACTTTTGGACATGCTTCATTTGCTTTGCTCTTCTTCTTCGGACACATTTGGCATGGTGCTGGAACCTTGTTTAGAGATGTTTTTGCTGGGATTGACCCAGATTTTGATGCTCAAGTAGAATTTGGAGCATTCCAAAAACTTGGAGATCCAACTACAAGAAGACAAGGAGTCTGATACAACATTTCTTTGGTGTCTTTCGAATCTATTTTATTTTTATGATTTGATATAGGGTCATCAGATGTTCACAACGAATGATTCGGATACCAATTAGCAAGGGGAATTACGTATACATTTACGGGGAGCCGCGTGTGATCGACATAAAGGTAATCTCTATGCTAAAAGCTTGTCGTTATCTAGTCAAGGATTGCTCAATTTTTCTAGCCTATGTTATGGATGCGGCAAAAGAATTGAAGAAGACGGTGAAGGACGTTCCAATTGTTTGTGAATATCCGGATGTATTTCGGATGATCTGCCTGGATTGCCACCCGATCGTCAAGTAGAATTTCATATAGACTTGATACCGGGTGCAGCTCCGATAGCAAAGACACCGTATCGTCTCGCACCTGCGGAAATGAAAGAAATGATGAAACAATTGCAGGAATTATTGGACAAGGGTTTTATCCGACCAAGCACATCTCCTTGGGGTGCTCCAGTCCTGTTCGTTAAGAAGAAAGAAAGAACTTTCCGGATGTGTATAGATTACCGTAAGCTTAACAAGGTAACTATAAAGAACAAATATCCATTACCGCAAATTGACGATCTTTTTGATCAATTGCAAGAAGCGAGATATTTTTCTAAAATCGACTTACGATCTGGCTATCACCAACTCAAGGTACGGGAGGAAGATGTACCCAAGACTGCCTTTCAGACCCGTTATGGGCATTACGAATTCCTCGTAATGCCATTTGGACTTACAAACGCACCTGCAGCGTTTATGGACTTAATGAATCGAGTATGTTATCCTATGTTCGACAAGTCTGTGATCGTATTCATCGATGATATTTTGGTTTACTCAAAGTCCGAAAACGAACACGCTACACACTTACATCTGTTAGACCCCATAATTCATAAGTGTAAAAGTAATGAAAAACAATAAGTGATGAAGAACCAGAAGACTGATGAAGACATAAAAGCAGAATTAACTAAGTCTAAAGAACAACCAAAAGGTCGATGAATTGACCAGAGATGCGATGGAAAGAGTATCTTCATCACCCCTCTGGTCAACAACACTTATGAGTTTTCTTCAACAGTCCAACCAGAGGCATGCGATGAAGATACGAAGATAAGGTTGAATTAACATCCTATGAAAAACAGCTGGAGATAACAAATCGACAGTTGGATTTCTAGTTTATCTTGATTAATAACTTATCCATTCTTAGATAAACATTATCTTTCCTAGAAGATTGGCTAGATAGACTTACTAGATAGTTATCTTCTTATCACTAGTATAAATAGGTGAATAGGCCTATTGTAATTAATGTCGCTTTTACGTTTTCATATTGAATAAAGTGAAATTATTGGCGCTCAAGATTGTTCTTTGAATGTTCATAAATTGTTCTTGAGTGTTCATCATTTTGTTCATTAAAACACTATAATTTGGTTATTCTTAACTTGATTATTATTGTTATTGAGAGATCTGGGATCAACAATTGGTATTAGAGCAAATTGATTGTTTTTCCAATCAAACGATCATCTAAAATCTCTCAATTCACGTTTTTCACGAAATATCTTCACCGAAAAACGTAAATTTTCTCTCTTCAAAAATCTTGATGGCCAACTGGAATTCAGCATATAGTGTTGGTTCCCTCACCAAGCCTCCAACTCTTCAACAAGAAGAGTACCCACAAGGGAGAATAAGGATAGTAAACTTCTTGGAAGGAATGGACAAAAACCTCCTGCGATCGGTGATGGAGGGTCCTTACGTTCCACAGACTCTTGTCCTAAGAGTCCCAGGAACAAATACCATAGCAGAAATTCTTGCATATTACATGCCCAAAAATGAGAAAAACTGGGATGAAGACGATATTGAGTGTGTGGAAACTGACAAGAAGGCCAAGCGACTAATCATCATGGCCATTCCCAATGAAAATTTTCAATCCCTTGATGYATKCTCCACRKCAAAGGAATTGTGGGATGAACTTGCGAGCCAATTGGAAGGAGGAGCTAAAACAAAGAAGAATCGTAGAGCACAGTGTCTCAACAAATACACCAACTTCAAAGCTCTTCCTGATGAACCAATACAGGAGACTTACGATCATTTCAACACATTGATTAATCAATGTCGTCCAAATGATATCACCAGAACAAAGGAAGAAAATAATGTTTTGTTCCTAAAAAGTCTTGGCGATGAATGGACTCAGTTGTCAATGTCCCTTCAAGCTAATCAGGACCTTGACAGCTGGTCACTTCATGATGTATATGGAATGCTTGCAACACAAGAGAATGACATAATGAAGAAGAAAGTATCCATCAGTGGACCTCTTGCTCTTGCTGCTGATGAAAAGGAAGTATCAAGGACACCCACCAGAGATCACAAGAAGAAAGGAAAGAAAGCAATGGTGGTAGAATCAGAATCTGAAGACGAGTCATCTGAATCAGATGATGATATCAAAGCCTTTGCTAAGTCTCTGGCCTTGATTACAAGACAGTTCCAAAAGAAGTTCATCAAGAGACCCCATGAACAAAGAGACTTCAAGAAGGAGAAGTACCAGTCATACCATGAGAAGAAACCATCAAAATTCTATCAGAGGGAAGATAGAAGAGAAGAAAGAGAAGAGAGAGAGGACAGAAGGGAGGACAAGAAAGAAGACAGAAACGGAAAGAAAAATGACCTTTGCTGCTTCAGATGGGGAAAAATTGGTCACTTTTCAAAAGAGTGCAGAGGACGATTGATAAAGGATGTCGATTATTACAAGAATAATTACACGTACAATCGAACATAGCGAAGCTTGATGGCTGAGAAAGAAAATTGGATATCCGACTCTTCATCCGATGAAGAAGATAAAGCACTCATCTGTCTGATGGCCAGATCCACTACAGAACCCACTTCCGACTCTGATGATCAGGTATGTGAGTCTACTTCCAATGAAACCAACTATGCTCCATCTGAGCTAGAGTTAAGGGTAATAAAACTTTCAGAAGATTTCTTTAAATTGAAAGAGAAATTAAATTTTGAAAAATCTGAAAGACTAAAAGCGGAAAAAGAATCAAGTTTCTACAAAATAGCTTCACAAGCAATGAAATCCGATGCACCCTCAACATCCCATCACCAAACACAAAACCCACCATCACCATCACCCCAAACAGAACAACAATGTCCACCAACCCAAGCAAGGGAACCAGAGGCTCAGCCCTTTGAAGATGTATATAACGTACATGTTCCCCTCACCACATCCCAAGAACCCATCGAGTTGAGCTCATCGACCGATGAAGAACCATCCACAACACCAACCAACCTACCYTTCACCCCATCACCAACTCCAAACTTACCATTAACCCCCTCACCAACACCACGCACCACACAACCCTTTACCATTATACCCATACAACCTCAGCCCATAATCATCCAACCTTCATCACCACAACAATCACCAACTCAACCCGATGAACCAGAAACCACCCAAATACAACTTCCTCAACCACAAGTCACCCCATCTGAGCCYAATGAACCAGAGCCAACCCAAACTTTTCCATCACCTACCCCCTCTCAAACATTAACTCACACATAACCCACAACCCAACAAACCCAAGTGCAAGCAGATATTCCTTCATCTTCAAGGCACCCTCCTCAAGGGATAGTCGATGAAATAATAGCAAACATGGAGTCACTCAAGAGACGTCCAGAGGTGCCATCCAGGGATCCAGTCATGATGGAGAATATCCATCAATATTTGTATCATGACCGCGATGAAGGGCTAACTCTCAATCCTCCAATCCTTTCACCAGAATCCATGAACCTCTTACACCATAGGTTTGTCAGACAGACCACCCAACCACCACGGGTTGTCTTCTCAAATGATGGAATAAGGTTGGTCATGGACATCAAAATTAGGACCTTCGCCAACCAAGACATAAAATACATCGAGTACACAGTGGAACGAGCTCATGGTCAGGTCAGCGTCTTTAGTGACAATGACTTGATCAATCTCAATCCCTATGACTTGGTCGAGCTACACGCATACACGACTTACCCGGCCTGTAGGAGAAGAGATCTGCCTCTATCCTTACTCAACCAGAACTGGGTCTGGTGTATAAGAATGAGTTTGGCACGAAGAAATTTTTTACGTTGACTGAGGCCTTCAGGTACTCAAATGAAACACTTGAATGGTTTCAGAAAGCCATCAGAGACAGGTTTGGCAGATCTCATGTGCCGATAGACGATGGACAGAGAATGATTCATGAGATATCTACAGTCATCCAATACAGAG